ATGGCGTCCTGCGCGAGCATTGGGGGATCCATTCATTCAAGTGTCAGGGTACGCACGCAGGGGGGAGGGACAAGCAGACGACCATGATTGACATGGCAGGAACCAATCAGGTACAACGAACCGTCATTTGTGATTGGTTGGGTTTATTCATTGATTTTTCACTGTAGAGGGGACCATTTATTTGAGTTTCAAGCGGCTGTGGGGAGATCGGCTAAGCGGCTGTGGGGAGATCTTTAAGAAAAGATCTCCTACTGCACCTTTAACATTTTTACACTTTGGGTAGTTTTATTAAAAATTACAGAAAAACTGGTGAGCGGCTAAAATAAAGCAGCATCAGGTTGATACGGATACAAGCTTATGTCTATTATAGTCAAATTTGAATCCCCTTTGAGCCTAATAAGCATGAGTTTAAAATGAGAAAGAAATGTGAGAAAAAAAGAAATTCATAGATGCATGGAGTTAGATCAACATTCATGCAAAAAAACTGCCAATACTGTTCCTCCATAATAGAAATAAATATTTTTATTATCTAGGCAACGAAGGAGATTATGAAAGAAGTACATGGCTAAACAACCGTTTTCTTCTTCTTCTTTACCCTCTCTTTCAAATATACAGTATATAGAGGTTGAATTGTATTTTCAGAGTTTTGAAAGATCTTCTGGGATGATTCATAGACAAAGAAGCCCTCTATAACATGTGATGCAGCTCCCCGTTTTTTTTCCCTGGTTCTTTGGAATGTTTAAAAGAGGAGTGGCCACAGTGGGTCCTTGGCAGAGCTAAAACTTAATCAGCCCCACATCAGATAGAAAGTGGTTTAATTAGAGCAATTTACTGTAACCCTTTTGGTACTACAAGTACTACTTTAAAAAAATTACCATAACAGCTCAACTTTAGTAAAAACTCTGCTGGCATCAGAGCTACTGGGCTACTGCCATGAACACCTTAAATTAAAGGAAATAGATCTGGGGCTGTTTTTCAGTCACGTTTTTCTCCTAGACATAGTTGTGAGCTTTTAATGTGACTAACTGTATGTTAGTAATCACAACGCCAGGGGGAGGTCCCCAGACCCCCCAGTGCAGGAAGGGCACTAGCCAAAAAAAAAAAAATTAAATAAAAAGCCATACATTTAGGAAGGACACCTGCACACAAATTCCACTTACAAAATAGACTAGAATGGACAATCTTAGCCAAGGGACCAAGCAGGTCACCAGACAGCCCAACCCCAGGCAAGAGGTGCAACATGAGGTAAATGCTTAATAAGAGTTCTCCATCAACCAACACAACATTCTGCAAAATCTCCTTTTAATACACACACACCTGTACTGTACATCTCAAGACCATGTCTGTCATCCCTGCGAGGAAAATGCTTTATTCTGCTGCCTTGACTGCCTGCCTCCTTTTTCAAATGTCAGGATCTGACCCAGCATGGATAAAGACAGGTAGGAATGTTTTAAAGCACTTTTTAGAAAACGCAAAGAAGAATGAACAATCTGGAATTCACATAGAAAAATTTAGTGTCATTTTCTAATCGTCTGTTAATTTGCATAGTTGCTATTAAATAATCACATTCTTAAAAAAATAGCTTTCATATAATAATAATAATAATAAATTTTATTTGAAAGCGCCTTATCACAACACCCAAGGACACTGTACAGGCAGATAAAAACATTAAAAACAGGAAGCTAAAAAGTACAAGCATAAAGATGCCACAGAAAACAAAACAGCAGGAAGTAAAATAAAACCAAAGGAAGATATTAATATATAATATATATATTAAAAGAACATAAAGCTGACTAATAACTTCTCCATTATTTAAATGGTACATTATTTCTTCTGGTTTGTGACACAATTTTGGACCACGCAAAACACAGATTTGCCTTCAAAATTTATGTACAAAAAGAAAACCTGTACATGAAATAATGTTTTTGTTTTTATAAAGTGTTTTTATTAAGTATTTTTTTTTGTTGGCATTAATAAAAATAAACTGCCGTGATAACTTAGTATACGTTTGATTGGTTTTTGATATACATCTATTTTGAATTTATAGCACCCCCTGGAAAACTCCACCAGCCGCCACTGCCCACACTGATTTGACTGTTTGTGTTTGTTAAGGAATTATCATTTTATCCACCTGCAAGTTGTCACAAACAAATGTCTGTAACCAACGTGAATTGTAAACGTAACAAAAATTTTAAAGACTGACAAAAAACATGCTTTACTTTGACTGAAACGCGGAGCTCATGCCAAAAAAGAAATCCCTAACTGTTCCCATCGACTCATTACTTGTCTTTGAGATTAAACCATGAAGCTTCCCAGTGATGTTTTTACAGACATTTTATTTTCCCTCATCTCCTCAGTCTGCTTAATGTTGGGGCACTGGTCATACGAGAAGATCTACAAACTCTTCACTCTCCAGTCTGTAAAATAAAAAATGAAGTGTTCAGCTGGAACAAATAACAGAAACTACATCTGATCTTTCTTTGTAATAATCAATAAAATTGTCTATTACTTCTTCAGCCAAATGATATAGACCCAAAGAGCTTCATTGCAGGCAACATTAACATTATGTTTCTAAGCTAGGATGATCACAACCCTGAAGCTAGTTTTTTCTGTTTTCTTTAATTTATTCTACCAACAAGAATAAGCTCGGGTCACTGATTGCAACATGTGGCTATGATTTGCAACAATAGGCCATTTCCTCTTATTCTGACGTGTCACACTAAGAAAACAAGCAGCGGAATCACAGGACAGCTGCTGGTGATATATGATGTCTCTTGGTGAGCTCTGTTTGTGACGGTTCACAAACACTGCCGTTGTGATTCAAGCCTCTTACTGTGAAATATGTCAGCTGTTCCAGGTAAAAGCAACAAAACAGCAGCTGTTTCAGTCTAAGCTTTCCCAAACAGTATCTTGGACATTTACCTATGATTTTGTCATTAAAGCAGCAATTGGTTAGGATGAGTTTTGACTATGATCAATTATTATTTTTTAGAATATTACCTTTCATTATAGCTGTAAAACTTACCTCTACTTTCTCAAAAAGGGTGGCAAAATGCCAAATGGTCTTAACCATTTTGGTTTGTTGTGTTTTTGTCCACTTTGTTTTATCTCACAGGAGGTTGAACCAAATGCAAAGCTGTACAAGTTGAAATGTTTCTCTTAATGGAAATCTTCCAGAGTTTTCAGTGCTTCCCCGACACTTATCATTTCACTGGAATAAAATAAAAAATTCTTATCTGGTTCAATTTAGAATATGCATTTTCCAAGTTTACCAACTGTATATTTTGTCAGATGGTTCAGCTCTTTACTTGCTGAACTCTAAAAGAAAATGTGCAAGACTCAGCCCAGTAGTAAGCTAATGAAGGCCTTCTTTGTTGCAATAAAAAGGTACTGTGATGTAACGTGTTAAGTCATTATAGCTGAGTAGCTTAAAATAAACATTCATTTCTATAACTGCATTAGTAGTACATTTCTCCACTATAATATAGTAGTTGGCCATTATCCAGATAATCCTCTGTTCAGATCCAGATTTATACTGAGGTCCACCAGTTAGGGAGCTCTATATAAGCGACATCATGAGAACATGGATATGGAGAAGCAGGCAATTAAAATAGTTTCATTTGTGCAAATAAATACACAATATAGATGGAGTCAAGTCTTAATCTCACTGCTGGACCGTATCAAAATGCATGGAACTGCAGGTTTTTCAGAGATCTTGATAAACTGTGAGACCGAACATTGGACATTTTAACTAATCCAGCTGTGACTAACAACAGCTGTCGGCTGGGCAAAACACACACATACTAAAAACTCAACAGTTGCTGAAGCACCTTATCCTCGCTCTGATTCCTTTGTCAGAATTGTGTTCTCATCCCTTGGGTGTTTCGTTATTACTGGCACGGCTCAGCAATGCTGGATTCAGGGTGATATCTGGATCTTTCTGACTCGTAAATTCCAAAAGAGCCACAAAAGCCAAAGGTAATAAAGACAGTTAAGGTTAAGAAATGTTTCACTGTAGTTGAACAATCCTGCATTTAGATGTTTTTGTGGAATTTTTACACTGAATGATTTTAAATTGAAAACAGAATTAATATTAAGCAATTTTTAAACTAATAAATGTTGGAAATATTATGTGTTAAAACAATTGTATTCTGAAGTTGTAAAAATGTATGAGGCCATTTAAAAAATATATATAAATAAATATTATAATATGGAGTTCTTTTTTTGTTAAGGATTAATATGAGCACTTAATAATGAGTTAATGTTTTACATGAAACAACAAATTTCAAATTAAATTATTATATTAAAGAATAAAATATTATTTTTTAATATGTTCATTGGTCAAAAAAAGCTCCCAGTCAGTTTTTCCTTTAACCAGAAAAACACGTGGTCTAACTTTTTTTTTTTTTATTGTTTTATATGCACTGGAGGAGTTATGAGACGGCTGAACAGAAATTGGATTAGCAGGAACAGCTGTCATGCTAGAATAAAAATTATGTGGCTTTGTAAACAGTTGCACCTGCTAGAGACACAAGTAGTAGTAAACTTTTTAGTTTCCATGAAATCCTATTAGAGATATATTTCACAAAACTATTCGCAAATGTTTTATGAATTTTTTCTGAGCCTGAAAATTGTTTCAAGGAAGAACATGTTGAAAAACTTTAACCCTTAGTGATAAAATATAAGAAGAATTGAGAGCTTTTTCAGATTTAAAGGGTGTTAAAATGAAACGTAAGAAACCACTGTAGTGTCCTATATATGAAGCAAAATAAGTCCCAAGTAATCATAAAAATGTACCTCAGAATTCCGAAAATCTTTGTAAATGTGTAATGTAATTTCTATAAATTTACAAAAAGTAAAAAAAACCCTCGTCATTACATATTGAGAAATACACACATTTTTTTTTTAAACTTGAACCATAAAGCAGTCTACATTTTAAAAGGTTACTGTAAGTTCAGCAAAGTTAAATGTGTCCTGCCTGGTTTGGCATGAATTGATCGGGTTCAACTTTGTACACATCTTGGCTTGCTTTGGTTAACATGGTTTTTGTTTTCTTCACAGCCTCGGTTCGCCACAAGCCCCATACATGCTGTGTTTAATTGCTGGTGAAAAGCTTGTTTAAATTGGTTGCCATTGGATTCTTCTGGTATTTTTCAACAGCTAACCCAATAATGTGCATTATAACACATAGCCCTAAGTTTCTGTATCTTAAGAATGTTAATTAATATATAAAACAAAAGCAGGTTTTGACACAGTTTGAAGGCAATGCAACAAAGAGACAGTTTTACTGAAATACTAACATAACTATTAAGCCCAAAATTGCATCCTTCCACACTACAAACAGCACAAATACCTGCTTTACTGACCATGGTAACACTTAGACTGATCTGCCAGCTACAGAAATAGGCCTGACCTTAAAACCACACAGAAAATGTATAGATAAAATTCCAGAAGAAGAAGATGCATCAAAACCAACAATGCAGAGGAGTTTTAGGCTAAGAATAAAACAAACCTTGGCTGCTTTAGAAACCTCCCCTCGCTCTATGTGTGAATAATATATAGAGTTTAATGAATGGGTTTCAAATTTTGAATTGAATTTTAAAGAAGTTGGATTTAAAGAGAATAAAGGTTTGTAGCATCTGGTGTTACACTTCTCAATTCATAATAACCAAGAAAACAAAAAAACAAAAAAACAAAAAGTCATTCCCTTGATTGCTATATTTTCTGTCTGAGATAGACCCTGATACAGACATGATGTTGGCAGGCACATGTGGGAATCGGCTTAAAAATGTAACAACAACATAACAGAACATAACAGAATGACAGGAAGTAAATCACGATATCAAACCAGGGTAAAAGAAACAAAAAAAACCAGAGATATTCAGTAATTATTGATATAACAGAAAGACAGTATAGACCAGACATAAAATTTGCTGTTTCACGGTGGGGAAATTCAGGAGAAGATGAAATTACACGAATAATGCCAATGCACATAAAGAAAATTGGATTTAAGCAAGGAGTTGAAAGCATGAGGTGTCTATGAAAAGTTGAATATGGGATGTTTTGTGCACTACATTATCTAAGTATAACATAAAGCCTAATAAGCATAATGGTACAAAAGGAACTTTAGGTCATAGAGATAGATTATTGTACCTTTAGGCCCAACTGGTCCACGTTCGCCTTTCTCTCCCCGTGGGCCATCAGCCCCAGGAGATCCTTTTATTCCCTGTGTGCCTTGCATTCCTTTGGCTCCTGTAAATCCTACAGCAACAACACAAAAACAAAGCTTTAAACACATTAGGTTTTAATGGTGCAATGACATTCAACTTTAGGCTTAATTGGCAGCATGACAGTAGAAATATTCAAGAAATTTGTATTTTAATTAAATTTATATTGTTTACGGTATAAGTCTCGGTCCTTGAATTTTGTGTTGAGATGGATAAAAAGGAACCTCCAAAAACAAGTATTAAAACCCACTAATCCTCTATCATTTAATGGAAAATTTGGATTTGGAAAGGCTCAAAGTTTTCTTTGACATGTGCCAAAACGCCAATTTCTTTCTCATTGCTTCTTTTAAAACCATGGCACAAACTCAGAGCATTTGTTGATGGTAAGCACGATCAGATGTCTCTAAATTATTGTGCTAATGCCTTGTAGATTGCAGCTCTGAAGTCAGCTTTATTATTTTCAAATGTCTTTGTGCTCCGATTCGCTCTGATTGCACAGTTGTGACAGACTGCTCGGAAATGTGAGTGAGAGGATTAGATTAAAAGCATTAGAGCAAGAAAGGTACAATAAACTGATGATGCATGATGTCATGTAACAAAGCAGTTCAACAACCCACTAAGAAAACGCTATCAATCACAGTTTGGTTCCGTAGCAAAAGTGTTCTTAGTGCTCTGTAGGTATATTCAACTGGATCACAAAGTAGAAAGAGGGTGGATGTGATGAAAGGCTCTTGGCTTCGATGTAAATGGAGAAACATGAGTGTCTAGAGTAATATATAAACAAATTGTCTCAATCTGAGTTTGTTTTTAAGTGAAGCAGCCTGGAGTACTGAAAATGACATCTTTAAGGTCAACACACTTCCCTCTAACTTCCTGCACAAGACTTACAACCCCACTGCACTTTGGCAGGCAACTTGTTTTCTAATAGGAATGCATTAAAGGAAAAGGAATCAAAACATTTTTTTTAATGCTCTAAGTATTCATGGCCTAGCCATCCCTTTGTTTGGTTTTGTCCTCTCAAACTCAGAAAGTGTAGGCAAATGGCTGCCAATTCTATACCTGATTTTGATTCAATGAAGTTGCCCTAAGCCAGTTATCCATTTCCAACTGCTATTTTATATTTTATTCGATCTTAATGTATGGAATTGGAATGTACTGTAGTTGGTCTTAATTACATTTAAGATATTTGTATTTTAATCTGAACTTGAATGTATTGGATCAGTTTTTAAGTGAACCGTTCAAAAAAAGAAAAACAGGAAAAATGTAAAAAAAAAAATGTATGTAACAACTCGGTGAAACAAACAGCACCATGAAAATAAAAAACACAGCAAAAAGTTTGAGAAGTTCGAGAAGTTTAAGTTACAACCACTATACATTTAGGGAACCCTACAAAGAAACGGAATGGAAACCTACAAAGAAATAGATGCCAACATTCATTTATAGGAAGTTGTGAGGATAATATTAATTTATGAAGAAGCTGCAGAGATTTAAAGCTCCTTCAAATATTATTTTTGTACTCTACAAATCAAATCTTTATTGATTGGTCTGAGGGGAGACAGCAGAGTGATCAGGAAGGAGTGGTTGATGAAAAATTATGACCTGATTACTCGAGAGAAGAAGGGGAGGTAGCATGGATCTGTAGGGGATTGATTCAATGGGCTGTACAGACTGTACCCCAGAGGACCAGGAGAATTTGATCCAAGAAGGTTAGTACTTGCAAGAGATGTTGTGCTGGAGAGGTGATGAACACTGAGAGCAGCTGTACAAAGGTAAGAGCTTTTCCATTAAGATTAGGGAAGAACTGAGGTTCATTGGTAGTCTGGAACAATAACAGAGTCCACATTAGAAAACATTAAAAAGAAGACAAATTTCAACAAGAAAGATATTCCAGGTTTAGATCTTTGGCTGGAACACCGTTAGGGGTAATCATCTGATGAAGAGAGCTGATAATTTGTCTCCTTTAATACACTCGAGTCATCTTGATTGAGACATGTTCTCAGGTGTGCCACAACACGGGTTGGTGCAACCACCCACAAAGATCTTCTCTTTGACAGGAAGCTCACTGACACCAGAAAGACAGCAAAACCCCAGAGACCCTAAAAATACCCCGCTTTCAAGGAAGGGCGAGAAGCCCAAAAGTCCCGAACAAGGTCACTGTCCAAAATAGAAAAAGAAGGAATTCAAAACTGTTCCTCAGGGCCATAACTTTCCCAATCGACCAGATGCTGAAAACCCCGTCCTTTCTGACAAGTATCTAAAATTTTTCGT